TATCAATCGATATCCCTCGCTCATTTCTATATTTGGTACGATATCTTGATGTTCAAACAAATTCAAACAATCTGAAAATTTTTCAAATAAATATCTCCATAAGATAGCAGCCCAACGTCCAGTCCGTTGAGATGTACAACATTGTTTGAGAAGTTGCGGGAAATCATAATGATTGTACAGTTTCATTTGTGTTTGCCCTAAACGAAATTATTGAGATGTGAAACAGAACTGCACACAATCAAACTTTATGTGTTTCGCATGTTTAACTTGAACTGCTGATCAAATATGAAACTTCAGCTTAAAAAGAAAACACCGTGGATGTTTTGCTTCTAGGAACTATCCACAAGCTAATGAGACTAATGAGAGTATGTACAGAATACGGATCGGCTATGTCGATTCAAACTTTGCTCGAACTTAACTGAGTAGCACTAGAATCAAAATTTAACATATCATAGCTACTTCAGAACAGCGTTCTGCTTTGATTCGTCTACTTATAGTCGAGAACGCAGAAACAGACTAAAGTACTTCTTCAAAACAGAAAGGCAACAAGCACAATTCTAGTTTTTTATACTTACATGCGTTAGAACTCCTTCTAACGCATGTAAATATAAAAAACTACTTTCTAATAGTACTTTCTAATAGTTCATGTAGCTTTTATTGCGTAAGGTGTGTAGACTTTGTCGTTAGTCTATGTGGCAAGCCGAACAGCAGCGCTTAAAGCACATTATATCTAACCTATCAATGCTTATGACTTCTCTCGAGAACTGTGTTCAACCTGATGTATTTCCTACCACTTTTTTTAGCACATTCATTTATAGTCTTTCTGTATTAATGAGGAAAATCGCACTTAGATACTGTTTCAGGTTGTTATAAAAACCGTATCGTATAAAGAAAATCTACTATACCTGTCTGTACAATATTTTCCATTATCGAAATGACATTTCCAGGTAGTGAAGAGTTTAGAAACTTTTTCTCCAGTCCAGTTAAAATTTCTGGAACAACTGCTTCATGATTATGCGCATAATATATAACTTCACATGATTTTGAATGACAATTGAACATTGTCCAACTTCCATCCAGTAGTGGAAGCAATGCTACATTATGTAAACTTTCTACTGTTGCTCGTAAACAATATTCTAACAACTGTAAACGTGCATCGAATGAAATGTGATTCAATGAACGATCTGTTATACTTTCACATAATAAACTAGGTGTTATTAAACGTACGCCGTTCGTGTGAAACATCTGGAAAAACTTCAGTGTCTTGTTTGGTATAAATGCTACTTGTGAATTTTTAAAACATTGAAGAATGGCTGCTTCGAAGCGTTTGTCACCCACATCTGCCAAATTATTGACAATTACTTCTGATATTAACCGTTTATGACCATCTAAGCACATTACAATTGGTGTGTTAGCAATTTCTTGAAACACCGGTCCAAGTAATTCATACCATTTGTTTGATATTATGCTGGCATCTGGCAGACATTGATAAACCATTAGCGAATCTTGAAAGTGATTGTTACAATATTCAACTAGTTTAATATAGGTACGTGAAATAACTTGCTTAATCAACAATTCATTCCATTTACCGTCATTGTCTTTATATGTTTCCGTTGTAACCCATTTCAAATCGCGACGATTATCTGTTAATCCAAAAAATCCATTAATATGCACTGAAAGACCATGTGTGACGCTGTCAGGTAATGGAAGAGAACAGAATAATCTACCAGATGGTGGATTTGTCGACTGGATGGCACAACCACCGAGTGGCAAACTTTTCAATAACAAGACGAAATCACGTAAATCCTTATCACATGAACGAAGAAGAAGAACTTCAGATATAAGAAACTTGTGTTGCTTTGTATCGTTCATCATCAAATTCTAAAAAAATTTGTAATATATGTGAACAATGAGATCCTTTGTTCATTTTTTCAGACACGCTTTCTTGTGAAAGAGCAGCAAACATTAATTATTTAAGTTGCGTTAGACTGATGCTGCCAGCAGCACTACTACCCTCGATCCATCCACGCCAATATCATATCTCCGTTTGTGGAGAAAACATCAAGGGTATCGTCAAACCATGAAAACATTTGATGTCAAATTTTGCTAAAGTTTTTAATTCAACATTAGTTATAATTAGTTAGTTAACTAGTTATTAGTTAGCATCTAACTAAGGGTGCTGAAAATGAGAACGAAAAGGGAAGGACGGCTAAGGACTAGTTTGTGTGATATACGTTTTTTAGGCTATTACTTATCACTTAACTATTTACTTTTAGTCTAGTTATATTATCAGATTTGTAATGCTATGCATATTAGTTATTATAAATGTTAAAAGATACCTGTCCCAGTGTAGTATTCTAATTTCAGATGAAGTCTCTTTTGGCGGTCGGCTTTTGCATTGTTCAAGATAAGATAGAATGAATCGCTTATAAAATGGCCAAATTCTCATTGACTGAAAAATGAACGAGACATTCTCCAATTGTTTTCTATACAACTGCCTTAAAAAGCTCTAAAAGTGCAAGTTTGAGTCCGACGTAATATTTAAACTATGATGATCTTATTTTAAGTGTTTCCGGTAGATGTCTATATTATATCATATCACCGACAAAAAATTAAAGTTTTCATTTAGAGTTAAAGAAAAGTGCTTTTTCGTATTCAGCATACTTGATACTCTGGAAAATTTTCTATTCTTAGCGAGGGGTACCGCCAAAAAGTTAAGAAAAGTTTTCAAAATTGTATAATTTTGCCATGGAGATTTTTCTGCGTCACTTTGTTTGAAAATTTTTCTTAACCTTTTGGCGGTACCTCTCGCTAAAAACAGAAAATTTTCCAGGTTATCAAGTGTGCTGAATACGAAAAAAGCACTTTTCTTTAACTCTAAACAAAGTGTAATTTTTTTTTATCGGTGATATGAATCTATTTATATACATCCAAAAAATCAAAAAATAGTCAACAAAAGGAAAGACTTTTGGTCGATTCTGTTCATCTAATATTGCCGAAACGAAACAATAGTTAAGACTGAAATTTAAAGTTTTTTTAACTTGGGGTGGTCAAATGTCATTAAAACCTGAGACAAAATGTCACATTTTTTTTTCCTGGAAAAGATACAATGAAAAGTCATAGGAGGTCGTCATTGTATCTTATCTCTTGCGCGGTCATCTGTATCGGAACATCTTTGGGTTTAAATTATCCATTTTTTTCGACAGCCGCTGCGAGGGACGGAAAACAGCTTCGTCCCTACATGCATACTAGAAAGTTTTCCAGAGTGCGATTAATGAAAATTCAACTACTCGTGATATACTGATGGCTTAGAACAAAACGCTAAGAACTATCCAAATGAGCGAGTATCGTTTAGAACCATTTTCGAACTACCTTACTGGAACCGCTATGTCGAGTGCCACTGGATCCTGTGCAGTTATCTCATAAAAAAATTGAGATAATTCGCAGATTACTATATAAACAAAACGCGAAACGACTCTCACCCTCGGGTTTGACTAATCTTACAGACGCAGAACTTTCAAGCAACTCAGCTGATATCAGACGGGACCGTTCTGTCGGATAAATTTCCAGCTTCTTTACCATTCGGAGCGTTCCCGTGTGCCATGACACGCTAAACGGGCGAATAAACTGCCCAGCGGGCAGATTTGAAAGTCAACCGAGTGAAACGTGTCTTAGAAATACAGTACACACCGTCTGAATCCCTTATGTACATCAAACGCAAGTGTGGATAACTAGCATGTTATTACTTTATAAATCACTCGACACTATTCATACTAAATGTATATGAAATTTCAAGTGGCAATTAATTATGTCATAGAAAAGTTATTGAAAATATGCTCAACTTTTGGGACTTATTACTTAATCCTCTGAGAGCGCAGTAAAATTTTTCATCAGCCTCGCGAATGGCAATTAAAATTGCTCGAAAATCGGTCTGGTTAGCCAAATTTGGTTAGCAGTTGGATAGCAGTTAGCTCGCACTGATTGGCTAACAAGCAGAAATATAAGACCATATATGGAAAGCCACGATCGTGGCTCATCGCACTCAGAGGGTTAATAATTAAAAGATATATCGAAAAAATAACTTCAGCTGTTTCATCTACTGCTCTTGCACTCTCGAATGATCTTTTTTCCAAATCTGTACGATTAGTAATAGCTGAGGACGAGTGGCTGACTCCAAGTCGAAAGTAGGTCTAGAAGAAGAAAGAATTTTTTGTAGTAAAACAGAATAAGCCTCTTCAAGTTTCACTCGATCGGGTTAAAAAACAAAAAAATATTATCATCGACGGCCATTTTTCGCAAGCCTGTATTTTAGTGAAAAATGTTTTTGGGATTTAACGAGATTGGAATTATACGTACGGGACGGGATAGGGATAGGGATCGGGTTTTACTCTACGGGACGGGATCGAAGCGAAAAAACTTGATCCCGCAGGGCTCTACTGGCCACTAGTTAGTAGAAATAATACACTAAATGGTATAATTTTTGTATAAAATCATATCCGTGATAGAACTAGGGGTGTGACAGTTCAAACTGTGAGTAAATGTACTAAAGAGCTGGTGGCCATCTCCAGCTCCTACTCATGTGAGCTGTTAACCAGCTCCAGCTCCTACTCATGTGAGCTGTTAACCAGCTCCAGCTCCTACTCATGTGAGCTGTTAACCAGCTCCAGCTCCTACTCATGTGAGCT